GAGAGAGAGAGAGAGAGAGATTGTGGTCGTAAGTCAAGGACCGCCTGTAAACTCCACTCGCTGCCCCGAGAAGGAGCCTGGACTCACCCCTTGTAGAAGGCCAGCGGTCCTTCGGCTCGGAGCATCGTCAGGGCGCATCGGCCGGCATTCTTGTACTGGCCGGGAGGGGAGTTCATGTATCTGGTCTTCACCACGTCCACCGGGGAGGCGATGATGGTGGTGCAGAAGCCGGCCCCAAAAGCCGAGAGGAAGTGGCAGGGGACGTCATCTGCACGAAGAGATACACAGAGGCTCAACCGAGGCGGGAGATGGCTGAGGTGGAACATGCCCTCCAAATACATCCACCTGATACGGGTGGTCCTCAACTTACCACCACAAATTTACGTCACTAAGCGAGACGGTTGTTAAGTGAATTTTGCCCCATTTTATGATCTCCCTGGCCCCTGTTATTAAGGAATCACTTTAGCTATTACGGGAGTAATATGGTTGTTAAATGAATCCGGGTCAAAAAAAGTGATCCCATGACCCCTGGGGATGCTGCAACCGTCATAAATAGGAGTCTGTCGCTAAGCGTCTGATTTTTTTTTTTAAAAGAAAAATTAGATTTTCTAGTTTTACATTTAAATATTTAAAAAACAACATGGCGGCTGAGTTAATCGATAATTACATACAAGTATCTTTAGTACAGGTCTCAAACTACCACATTAAATATTTCCTCTCTTTTCCCCTCAGTATTTACCATCTCATATTTAAACTAATACAATCCTTATTATGTCGATTAAATAAAAATAACTTTCTTACATTTATTGATAATTTTTAGTTTACGCATATCCTGGTTACTTTAACATTCAGTCTTTATAGACAATCGATGTCCTGATTAATTTTTCCCAATTTTTAGTTTCCCATTCAATGTAACATTTAATATTTATGATTTCCAAGTTTTTAAAAATCCCAGTTCCCTTTATCACAATTCATCGCAAAATCTAATGTTCAGGATACACGTCTTATCTATTTGAATATATTCTATTTCTCACCCTCTTACATCAACTAATTAATAACACAGTATAACATTCCTGCCTGAGCAGGGGGTTGGACTAGATGACCTCCCAGGTCTCTTCCAATTTTTTTACTATTATTATTATCATTATATTATTATTATTATTATTAGTAGTAGTATTATTAGTATTATTATTTTCTGTTAATTTCTAAATGTCTTAAATTTAGTAACCAAAATTTCTCTTATTTCAACATTTAATATTTCCTCTCTTTTTCTCTTGATGCCTACTATCTCATATTTAAGCTATTAGTTTTTATTATAACAGCTAAGTAAAAACATATTTATTACATTCATCACATGACCCCCGGGGACGCTGTAACCGTCATAAATAGGAGCCCGTTACTAAGCGTCTGAATTTTGATCACGTGACCATGGGGGTGCAGCAACTATTGTGTGAAAAACGGACATAAATCACTTTTTTCAATGCCGTCGTATCCTTGAACGGTCACTAAATGAATCATTGTAAATCGAGGACTGCCTGTATTGTTTATTCAAGCAAATAATTTGTGCTTATTCCTAGTATCCCAGAAGTAGGCAACCTTGGCTCTTTTATGACTCGTGGACTTCAACTCCCAGAATTCCTCAGTCAGCATGGGGGAACTTTGGCCCCTTCATGACTCGTGGACTTCAACTCCCAGAATTCCTGAGCCATTATGGAGGAACTATGGTCCCTTCATGACTCATGGACTTCAACTCCCAGAATTCCTCAGCCAGCATAGGGGAACTATGGCCCCTTCATGACTCGTGGACTTCAACTCCCAGAATTCCTGAATCAGCATGAGGGAACTTTGGCCCCTTCATGACTCGTGGACTTCAACTCCCAGAATTCCTGAGTCAGTATGGCTCAACTTGGAAACCTCTCCCTTTCCCCTCAGCATGGCTGGATCAGGAATTCTGGGAGTTGAAGTCCACAAGTCATAAAAGAGCCAAGGTTGCCTACCCCTGCACTATCCTGTCCCCTTAGTTTCATGAACAACGCACAACCACAGCTGAGTCCACAATTTTTCTAGCTAAGCGAGACATCTGTTACATGAGTTTTGTCCTCTTTTACGACCGTTCTTGCCGCAGATGTTAAGCAAATCGCTGCAATGGTTGAGTGTGTCCCCTAATTGTTAAGTGAATCTGGCTTCCCCATTGACTTTGCTTGTTAAAAGGCCACAAAGGGGGATCATGAGACACTGCAACTGTCATAAGTACATGTCAGTTGCCGAGCCTCTGAATTTTGATCACATGACCACGGGGATGCTGCCACGGTCACAAGCGTGAAAAACAGTCCCAAGTCCCTTTTTTCTGGGCCGTTGTAACTTCAAACGGTCACTGAATGAACGGTTGTAAGTAGAGAACTGCCTTGTACACACCCCTTCCTACCTCATTCACACAAAAAGAGCACGATAGCACCAGCTCAGTGCAGTCTATCTTTCTCACCTGCCATGAGACGGTATTTCAGCAGGGTATCCTTGATGATGTCGTAGGTCACCAGTTCAGCGCAATTCACAATGGCGTTTCTGGATACGTTGGGAAGGGTTCCTAGTTGTGTGAGAAAAAAAAACACAGACACACGCACACACATTGAGAAAAGGGGAAGCCAGCCTGCCTTGCAGAGAGATTCACGGGCCATGCGCAGAGTGTCCGGTCAATGACCGGAGGGAGGGTTCGGAAAAGATGCACAAGGCATAGCCAAAATGTGCCATGTCATTAACATCCAAACATGCAGATAGTCCTCAAGGTATGAGGGCAACGGAGCTGAACATTCCTGGGTGTTGAAATTTCTGTTCCATTCTGTTAGCGGCAGAAATGTCGGGCTCCGTTGCGGCCGTATGTTGAGGACTAGCTCTTTTAATGCTATTTATTCCAGCAACTTACGCAGGGCCCCCTCATTCAGTATGCAGATTAAAGGCAGCGCTCTCCATTACAGAAGAAGCAATCAAGCCATTTCATTAAAACGTCGTTAAAAATATAAAAGCACAAAAAACACAGGAGGAGAAAAAAAATAATAATATTCACCAAACGGGTTACATCATCCCTTCAGCAAACTTCCAGGTCTTTAGTGACCTCCAAAAGGCTGGCCAGCTTGAGGGGTGTCAAGACTGCTAACATCAGATGTTCTTGCTTGCCATATATCAGTGTTTCCCAAACTTGACAATTTTAAGGCATTAGGACTTCAACTCCCAGAATTCCACAGCCAGCAACGCTGGCTGTGGAATTCTGGGAGTTGAAGTCTACATGCCTTAAAATTGTCAAGTTTGGGAAACACTGCCATATATGAAGAAGCAAACCTGTTTTATTCAGCCTGTATAGCACTTTTAGAGTTAAAGCAGATAATACCAGCCTAGTGGATGGGAAAATATGCTAGCAACCATAACAATATCTGAGCACAGTATTGCCAAGGTCAGCTGTAAGGGGAGGGGCAGTCACACTTCACATTAATTGGAGAACGTGATTGATGACTGTAAAATGAAGGAGTGAGTTATGCTTTATCAAGGGTGATTGGGGGAGAGAGGATTCAGTTTTTGGCTTAAGCTTTGTATGTGTTGAAGCTATGCAGAAAATAAAGGATTCTTTAAGGTAAATAAGCCTCAAAGTTCTTTGAAAAGCTGCTTCTTTTCGGAACCATGACGGGGGGGGGGGGTTTCAGAAAGATGTTGACACAGGAGGGGGTGCCACTCTGAAGGATCAGCAGTGAGGGGACCCCAACTGTGGTGGCCCGCATCAAATCTTGCAGGATAGAATAGAATAGAAATAGAAATAGAAATAGAAATAGAATAGAATAGAATAGAATTAGAATTAGAACAGAATAGAATAGAATTAAGAATTAAAAATTAAAAATTAGAATAGATAGAATAGAATTAGAGAACAGAATAGAATATAGAATATGGAATATGGAATAGAATAGAATTAAGAATTAGAATAGAATAAATAGAATAGAATTAGAGAATAGAGTAGAATAGAATAGAATAGAATAGAATAGAATAGAATAAAATAGAATAGAATAGAATAGAATAGAATAGAATAGAATCTGGAAGGGACCTTGGAGGTCTTCTAGTCCAGCCCGCTGCTCAGGCAGGAGAACCTATACCAGGGGTAGGCAACCTTGGCTCTTTTATGACTCGCGGACTTCAACTCCCAGAATTCCTGAGCCAGCCACGCTGAGGGGAAAGGGAGAGGTTTCCAAGCTGAGCCACGCAGGCTGAGGAATTCTGGGAATTGAAGTCCATCAGTCATAAAAGAGCCAAGGTTGCCTACCCCTGACCTACACCATCTCAGACAAGTGACTTCTTAAAAACCTCCAGTGATGGAGCGCCCACAATTTCTGGTGGCAAGCTATTCCACCAGTTAGTTGTCCTCACTGTCAGGACGATAGGAGACTGGCAGTCCAGGTTTGCCCCCCCCCCCAACCCTGATGGCTTACACAGGACCAGGTGGGTTCCCTGGTACAAGGTTGGGGGACGTCCCAGTCTTTGCACCCCTTACTCACCTTTCCACAGGCCCCGGACCCCCTCTTCCTTGGCGATGGTCTTGTAGGCATGCAACGTGCCCTGGTAGCGCCGTCCAGCATCTGTCCGGATCTGGGCCTGGAATCGCACCTTGACCACGTCTGTGGGCTGGGCCACCACCACCGCCATGGCTCCCGTGGTGCCACCGGCAAGTAGCCGGCTGCCCACGCTAGCATCTGCCAAAGTCCAGGGGAATAAAAAAATGAAACTTGGATTCTCTTTTTGTGAACCAGATAGGCTTATTATTTCAGAAATGGCTTGTATATCAATTGTGTAAAAGCCAAAATGTTGTGGTTGTAATGTTGTTAACCTTTTACTGCGCTAAAGAGCGTCGGAAGTCAGTGTCTTTTCCACCTTTACATTATCCCCCCCCTTCCCCCTACCTCTTCTTTTAGTTTTCTACGCTTTTTTTCCCTTGCGTTTTTATGCTTCGATAAAATACAATAAAATCATATTTAAAAAAAAACTGACAGCAGTTTATTGAGTAGCCATCCGAAGTGACAACGGCACGGGAAAAAAGGGACTTAGGACCATTTTTTCACACTTAGGACCGCTGCAGTGTTCCCCAGGGTCACATGATCAAAATTCGGAGGCTTGGCCCTTGTCTCGTATTTATTTATATATATATAATATGCTATTAATTTTCCAATTTTACATTTGAGTATTTTAAAAGCAACGTGGTGACTGGGTTAATCAATAGTTCGATAACAAAACCGTTAGTGCAAATCTCAAGTTACAACACCAGATATTTCTTCTCTTTTTCCCCTTAACTTACAGGGGTTCTCAACCTTGGCAACTTTAAGACTCGTGGACTTCAACTCCCAGAATTCCTCAGCCAGCTCAGGAATTCTGGGAGTTGAAGTCCACGAGTCTTAAAGTTGCTAAGGTTGAGAACCCCTGCTACATTTACTGTCTCATATTCAAGCTATTTCTATTTCTAATTATATCAACTCAAACATCGTTATTAAATTTATCAATAATTTTTTAGCTGATACATGTCTTAATTCAGTGGTTCTCAACCTGTGGGTCGGGACCCCATTTGGGGTCGAACGACCATTTCACGGGGGTCACCAAACAACGCAGTCGGCCATTTTTTCCCCCCTTTTCCTTAGCTGTGCTACGCCCTTTTATTCTATTGGACTCTCTTGAATAGAGTCTAATTCTATTGGCTTTCAAAAGCCAATAAGAATTGTCCAGGCTGTCTCTGCCCTGCTGAGCCCGCCAAAAGTCCCATTCTGCAAACGGTGCTCGACTTATGACCAGCTGAGTAGTCCTCGACTTACGAGTGGTTGGGGGTCGCGGCATTAAAAAGGCTGAGAACCACTGTCTTAATTACACGCAGTCTTCATAAACAATCCGTATCCTGTTATTAATGTTTACGTAATTTTTAATTTCTCACCAATATTCCAATTTAACCTTTGATAATCCATCATTTTCAGACTTTGGGCACTTGACTCGCATTTATGACGGTGCCCTGGGGGGGGGGTTCTCCCACGATCTCCTTTTGCGACCTTCCAACAAGCCAAGTTCCATGGGGAAGCCGGATTCACTTACAATCACGGTTTAGCCCTTCTTGCTTTTACGTACAGTGTGAGCTTCAGCACCGGAGACAAATTCCTTGTGTGTCCAATCAACTCTTGGCCAATAAAGAATTCTAACAACTGCAGTGACTCAACTGTGGTCAGAAAGGTCATAAAATGGGGCAAGGCTCACTTAACGACTGACTTGCTTAGCGACATAATTTTTGGGCTCAATTGTGGCGAGGACAACCTGAAGCACACTTGGCATCCCACCTGGTGCCCGATGCCCACTTACGCTCGGAGCCCTTGGTGTAGAAGTGTTTCACGGAGTCGTAGAGTCCGATCCGGACCGAGGCAAAGCTCATTTGGCGCTGAAGGCCGGCCACTAGCCCGTTGTAGAGGCTCTTGGGCCCCTCGTTCCTCACCATTGTGGCCATGGTGCCAAAGACCCCCTTGTACTGCGCCATTTTGGGGGTGACGTTGGCCTTCTCTCCTTGGATCTGAACAGAAAGAAATGGGGGGGAAGGATAGAGCGTAAAAATCACAGAGCTGAAGAGGGATCTGGGAGGTCTTCTAGTCCAGCCCCCTGCTTGAGCAGGAGATCCTACTCCTCTGTAGACAAATAGTTCTCCAATCTCTTCTTGAAAACCTCCAGCGATGGAGCATCCACAACTTCTGAAGGACAATAGGTCTTACAATCCATAGCGGTCGTGATTGAGATCAAACCATGATTGGGATTTTGAGTTAGATTTCTCAACCTGGATCAATTGCAGACAGGCGTGTCCCACCAGCGCCCCCCCCACCTACCGGACAGGAGAAGTCAAGTGAGGATCTAGCTTGGAATCCTTGCGTAGCCACAAACCTCGTCAGCTTGAGCTGCCGCAAGATCCACGAAGCCGTAATTGGTCATTCCCAGGGGAAAACAAGCAGCCCGGACCGATTCTTGTAATATGTACGGCAAGCAATAAAGTTACCGACTTTCGGTACTCATAAGAAACTATAGGTAGTCCTCAACTTACAGCAGTCCGACTGTTCAAAGTTAGCACCGGAAAAAGTGCCTTATGACCGGTTTTCATGCTTACGACCGTGGCAGCATCTCCGTGGTCACGGGATCAAAATTCAGATGTGTGGCCACTGGTTCCTATTTATGACGGTCGCAGCATCCCTGGGGGGTCTTGGGATCCCCTTTTGCGACCTTCGGACAAGCCAAGTCAACGGGGGAAGACGGATTCACTTAGCAACAATATGAATCATTTAACAACGACGGCGATTCGCTTAACAATGGTGGCAAGAAAGGTCGTAAAATGGGGCAGCTCATTTACAGCCATCTCACTTAGCAACAGAAATTTGGGCTTCAATTGCGGTCATAAGCCGAGGACTACCTGTATCTATGGCAAAGAATAAAGTGGCCAACTTTAACGATTCACAAGAAACTATGGTTCGTTGCAGCTGTCATTACCTGATCCCAGAATTGCTCGGCCAGCTTCAGCCTTCTGAAAACTGATGCCTCCTGCAGATGTTTGGGTCAAGCATCTCCCTTCCTAAAGGACCAGATTGGAGAAGGCCTACTCCGGTTGACCCCAGAGGCTGAATGTTAATCCTGGGCTGTAGCAAAACTAGGCAGCCCAGCAGCTCAATGGTTAAGATGCTGGGCTTGCTAACTGGAAAATTTGAGACCCAAGCACCACGTGATGGGGTGAGCTCCCGTCCTTGCCTCAGCTCCTGCCAACCCAGCAATTCGAAAGCACGCAAATGCGAGTAGATAAATAGGTACCACTTCGGCGGGAAGGTGACAGCGTTCTGTGACGTCACGCTAGCCACGTGACCGTGGAAACGTCTTTGAACACCGCCGGCTCAACGGCCTTGATTCGGAGATGAGCACAGCCTCTTAGAGTCGGCAACGACTAGCGGAGTAAAATCTGCAGGGATTCCTTTAACTTTTTACCTAGCAAAATGGGGAGTTGCTGGTATCGCCTCCACCTTTGGAGAATCAACCGTGCGAAACATCGCCAGGCGCTCACCTGTAACCGGACCTTTGCCGTATCCAGCGGGAAGGTGATCAAGTCGGCGATGCAGGCCGCCGTCCCGGCCCCCAAAAACTTGACGGTCGCCGTCGGAGGGACATCGGAGGGCTTAAATCCAACCATGGCGATGAATTCAGGAGGGTTTTAGGCAGAGAGGAGGGGGTGAAAGGTTCAAAAACAGCCAGGAAAAGCAGCTGAGAAGCCTGGGAGCGAAAGGCCAGAGGAAGGAGCTCTGCCTATATGGAGGAGGAGAAAAAGAAGAATATTCATTGTCCGCAATCTGATCAACGCAGATGAATCCTAAAATTCACTACTGTACCTTTGGGGAAGTTAATGGATTGGGACAGAGTTGCAAGTTCATTTAGTAACCATTCAAAATTACAACGGCACTGAAAAAAAAGGGACTTATGACCCTTTTTCATACTTACGACGTTGCAGCAGCACCCGTGGTCACACGACCAAAATTGAGATGCTTTGTGACTTTTTTTTTGTATATATTTTATTAATTTTTGTAGGGTTAGAGTTAAGGTTAGGTTAGGTTAGGGGTAGGCAACCTTGGCTCTTTTATGACTTGTGGACTTCAACTCCCGGAATTCCTGAGGCAGCATGGGGGAACTATGGCCCCTTCATCACTTGTGGACTTCAACTCCCAGAATTCCTGAGGCAGTATGGGGGAATTATGGCCTCCTCATGACTTCGGGACTTCAACTCCCAGAATTCCTCAGCCAGCATGGGGGAACTGTGGCCCCTTCATTACTCGTGGACTTCAACTCCCAGAATTCCCGAGTCAGCCACACTGAAGGGAAAGGGAGAGGTTCCCAAGCTGAGCCATGCTGGCTCAGGAATTCTGGGAGTTGAAGTCCCCGAGTCATGAAGGGGCCATAGTTCCCCCAAGCTGGCTCAGGAATTCTGGGAGTTGAAGTCCACGAGTCATAAAAGAGCCAAAGTTACCTACCCCTGGGTTAGGGTTAGCATTAGGGCTGTTTTGTTTTTTAAGATAATATTCTTAATATTTAGCAAACAGCATATTGTCTGGGTTCATGTATTTCAAAAACAATAAGTAAGAGTTAATTTCTATATTATATCATAATCAATATGTTAGTTAATCGCTCAATAGTCTTCTTACTAGTATATATTCAATGTTACATAGTACATATCATGTTCCTTTCTCTCTAACTCGTTTTTCTAGACATTGATAAAAATTGTCCCACGTTCTAAAGTACACTGAGTCTTTTTTCTCTTTTCTCTTTAATGTCACCAACGCTTTTCTGGCTGGGGATGAAGGGGGTTGTAAATCTAGCATCCGCCTAGGGCCGAGGGGGCTGGTGAAAGCTACCGCCTGTCAACCTTTATTACAGATGATGTGCCCCCCCAAAAAAAAATGTTTGTGGGGGGTTATTTCTTTCCTGCCCAAATGAGTCAGCAAACATCTGAGTCTCGTTTTTTTTGAGGAAGTGACCGAGGCAAGGCCTTTTACGAATTGAGTAAATTTGCAAAACTCTGGGTGCCCCCCCCCCTGCTTGACCTAAAACCCTATTTATTTCTGATTTTCTCAGAAAGGATGGTAAAGGTGACGGAATTGACAACGAGGGCAAAGCTGACTGTTTTAATAAAAGAGAAGAACTTAAATCAGTTTTGTTTCCACTCGGAAACCACTTCTGAGCTTCATGCTTGAAGCAAGGAAAAAAAAATGAATCTTCTATTTGAGTGGAAGAAGCTTCCGGGATGAGAAGCGAAACGTCTTCAAAGAAAAACAAGAGAGTCCAGTTGCCTTCTGAAAAAAAAAAAAAAAGCACGCCTGGGATCTTTGATTTTGGTTTTGAGGATCAGATTAATGTTGTCGTTACAGAAATGGTTCCTGTCTACTTTTTAATATATTAATATTCTCTTTCCACTTTTTCCAAACATAGGATGGGAAGTGTCTTTCTATTCCACAAGTTATCCGTATCCTTGTAAAAAAATCCCAAACCACTTTAACCAACCTTTTTCAAAAGCTTGGCACCTTTTAAAAGTGGAGATTCTTATAAAATTGAGCGGGATTCCAAATATTATTTTTTTTTCCCCACGCCTGCGTGACACTGCAGCACAGACTCGGCTAAATGCAGGAAGACTTACGACCCATTTGTTTAGTGTCCGTTTGAAATTACAATGGCATTGAAAAAATTATCCTTTTAGGATAGAATCAAGATCAGGTGAAGGGTTAATAGCACTTTACAAGGCCTTGGTAAGGCCACATTTGGAATACGGCACCCACTTCTGGTCACCACGATGTAAAAAAGATGTTGAGACTCTGGAAAGAGTGCAGAGAAGAGCAAAAAAGATGATCAGGGGACTGGAGGCTAAAACATATGAGGAACGGTTGCTGGAATTGGGAATGTCTCGTTTAATGAAGAGAAGGATGAGGGGGGACATGATAGCAGCCTTCCAATATGGAATGGAATGGAATATGGAATGGAATGGAATAGAATAGAATAGAATAGAATAGAATAGAATAGAATAGAATAGAATAGAATAGAATATTAGGGGACTGGAGGATAAAACATATAAATAATGGTTGCTGGAATTGGGTATGTCTAATTTAATGAAGAGAAAGACTAGGGGGGACATGATAGCAGCCTTCCAGTATCTCAGGGGCTGCCCCAAAGAAGAGGGAGTCAAGCTATTTTCCAAAGTGCCAGAAGGCAGGACAAGAAGCAACGGATGGAAACTGATCAAGGAAAGAAGCAACCTGGAACTAAGGAGAAACTTCTTGACAGTGAGGACAATTAACCAGTGGAACAACCTGCCTCCAGAAGCAGTGAATCCTCCAACACTGGGAGTTTTTAAGAAGAGACTGGACAGCCATTTTTCTGAAATGGTATAGGGTTTCCTGCCTGAGCAGGGGGTTGGACTAGATGACCTCCAAGGTCCTTTCCATTATTATTATTATTATATTATTATTATTATTATTACTACTACTACTACTATTATTATTATTCACACTTACACCCTTTGCAGCATTCCCATGGTCCCGTGATCCAAATTTCAATGCTTGGCAACTGACATGTACTTATGACAGTTGCAGTATGCCAGGGGTCATGTGATCCATTTTTGCGACCTTCTGACCAGCCAACTCAATGGGCCACCGAGATTCACTTAACCACTATAAAATTCACTTAAGAACTGCAGCGATTCGCTTAACGACGGTGACAAGAACGGTCGTAAAATGAGACAAAACTCACTTCACAACTTCCTGGCTTAGCAATGGAGATTTTGGGCACCTAGTCGTAAGTCAAGAGTGCCTTGTACCAAGCTACATTGGAGCTACCTTTTCAAGACTCAAAAAAACCCCAGAATTACCTTATTCAAGTATATCAGGATGGATCGATCGGATTGATCAAGCTTCTCTAAAGGATTCCCATTTGTCAAATTGGTTTAACACAAATCCAGCCGAACTCGCTTGACGTGCCATAGAAAGACGGGCAGAAAGACGACCCCGAATAATCATAATATTTATCCTGCAGAGATAAAAAGGATAAATTAAAATACCTGGATGGGTGCTGAATATTATTTGTTATGACAGATGATCAATTATTGTGACTTTCCAGGTCAGTGGTTCTGAACAAGGACAACCTAAAAATGGGTGGACTTAACTCCCAGAATTCCCCAGCCAGCATGGTCTTAAAGTTGCTGAAGCATGAAAAAAATAAACTTAGATTCAACAATTTCTCTTTGGGAGATCTCAGCAAAGGCTCCGTTGTTGATCTGGCTTCGGACCAACCATTTTTGCTACACATCCTGACACTCAGCAATTCCCAGAGACACAACCAGCTCAGGCTGGCACCAGATTGGACGAAGACCGAAAATCAAAAAATAAATAAATTCCTTTTTAGTGAAACCAGCCACAGCCCAGATCCTACCACATCTGGGGTATCTTCCAAGCAACACCCCAAAATCAGAAAAAAGTCATTTAGGCAAACTAGAAAAGGGGGCTGGCAGGTGGATACGAAGCGAAAAATTCTTCTTTCGATCCACCATTTCTGGTTTTATGGCTGGGAAATTATACTTGCCCTAATTTTTTACAGTTTGCAGCAAGTCAGAAAAACAGCTGGAGTTTACAGGTAGTTCTCGACTTACAACGGTTTTAGTGACCGTTCAAAGGGACTTCTCTCCATTTTTCACACTTACGACCGTTTCAGCATCCCACGTGATCAACATTTGGACGCCTGGTAACTGACTCATATTTATTATCGCAAAATGGGGCAAAGCTCACCGAACTGTCTCGCTTAGCAACAGAAATTTTGGACTCAGTTCTGGTCGTAAGTTGAGGGCTAAGTGTAGGACGTTTTTCTGGCCATTTGTTTTTGGGTTCCCAAGTTAGCCTGTAAATCTAAGATTCCTGATCCCCGTGCATTCAAATATTAACTTAATCAAGTACAGCCAAGTCCATCCAAATTTTAGCTATTTACAGGTGGTCCTCAAGTTACAACCGAAATGGAGCCTGCCCATCGTGGTCGTAAACGCACTACAGTTGTCCAGCAGGTCAGTCATACGACGGATCCGATTTTATGACGGTTTGTGCCGGTCATTAAGCAAACTCAGGGTTCGCCATGAGTTGGTTTTGCTGAAAACCGGAAGCAAATAGACCTTTTTTTTTTTTTGGCAAAACTATCGCAAAATGATGGATGCTGCAAACGGCTGTAAATTCAGCTCAGTTCCTGAACTGCAAGCAAGAGACGGGGGGGGGGGGGTGATTGGGGGATGGACCATCAGAACTTTGAATGTGAGTGGAGCTGAAGGGGACCTCGGAGGTCATCCAGTGCAACCCCCTGCTCAAGCAGGAGACCCTGGACCATTTCAAACAAGGGGCTGTCCAGTCTCTTCTTAAAAGCCTCCAGTGGTGGAGAAGGAAGGAAAGAAGGAAGGACGGGAGGGAGGGAGGAAGGAAGGATAACAGAGTTGGAAGGGACCTTGGAGGTCATCTAGTCCAGCCCCCTGCTCAAGCAGGAGACCCTATATCATATAAGGAACGGTTTCTAGAATTGGGTATGTCTAGTTTAATGAAGAGAAGGACAAGGGGGGACATGATAGCAGTATTCCAATATCTCAGGGGCTGCCATAAAGAAGAGGGAATTAAGCTATTTTCCAAAGCACCTGAAGGCAGGACAAGAAGCAACGGGTGGAAACCAATCAAGGAGAGAAGCAACCTGGAACTAAGGAGAAACTTCCTGACAATCAGAACAATTAACCAGTGGAACCACCTGCCTCCAGAAGCGGTGAATGCTCCAACACTGGAAGTTTTTAAGAAGAGACTGGACAGCCACTTGTCTGAAATGGTGTAGGGTTTCCTGCCCGAGCAAGGGGGTTGGACTAGATGACCTCCAAGGTCCCTTCCAACTTTACTACTATTATTATTATTATTATTTCAGACAAACTTTGTAACTTGGAACAGTCACTAAAGGAACTGTTGTAAATTGAGGACTACCTCCACTTGCATTCCCCTGCAATGTATTTTCAAATTATTTGTTTTTATTCTATTGGTTTGCTTCCCATCTCTCCCACTCCAGCCTCCAGAACTGGCCTTTCCTGGTGGTGTCCCATCCAAGGACTCATGCCAAGCCCCACCCCACCATGTCCCATCACCTCCTGCAACAAGGTTGTATTAAAACAAAACATATTCGGATCCACAAACGAGCACCCAAGGCAGGCTTTTGACCGCTTCAACTTCCCTATTCTAAATTCCACTTTTTCTATTTTTGCTTTTCTGATTTACTGCTTGGTGTTGCGTCCATTGGTTGCATCTGAGGCCAAAAGTGTGGGGAGAAAGCAATTTGTTGATCAGCTGCAGGAAATCACAGCACTTTAAACACAGAAGCCAATTTGCAAAAAATGGAAGAAAACGTGATTCACCTTGGTTACAAAAAGCCTGTTCAATTTTTTTCCCCCCAGAATGTTTTACTTAATTTCCAAGTAATATCAGGTTAACGACATTAATATAAGTCCAAGATACAAATAAAGAAATGATTAAAAAAACCAAGATATACTGCAATATCAATAAAAAAGACATGTGAATATTTACCCTACATAAAGAATACATCAAATTATAATTTATTATTATTCAGGTAAACCACAAACTGCATCCACATTTGATGAAATTGTGGTTCCTGCTTCTAAAATCCCATTACTTTATCTGTGGATTTTATATATATATATATTGCTAATGTAGAAACTGAATAGGCCCTGCTAATGGACAACTGCTGGTCTCTTGATGTGTCCTGATGCAGCATCAAATCCACCATAAATAACTCTAACCCTCAATCCCGTTTGTAGTGCAATGCAATTAACCATCTGGTTTATTTTAAAAACTGCTTAAACACACACACACACACAGACAAATTATGCTTTTAAACCAAAGAGCAACTTGGCAAAAACTTGCATTTGGAATTTTATTCTGATTCTCCAAAAGTATCAGCAGCTCTTACCTTGCAGCTGCTGGTGATCAACTGGCCAAGCCCCAATTTGTTTTAAAGATGGTTTATTGACCAAACCAGGTATCTGTGAGCTCACCCATCACCCCAAAACCGATCAAACAGCCGAGTTCACAAAACATATTAGTGGGATAAGGAGGACCCCCCCCCCAAAAAAGAGAGTGCAAGGAAAGACTCAAATGCTCCAGGGAGTGTGGGAACAAGCAAGCAATTGTGCCCTACATTCACACAACACCTTTAGCCTGCTTACAAAACTAGCCCATTTTTGTGGCTTGCCCAAACTGACAAAACAGAGGCTGTCCTCGCCCAACCTATTAAGGCAGGGAAAGAATCCAAACCAAACTTTAGAATGATCCTGGCTAAAAGCCTCTTTCCTGCATGCATCTAACCTGGTTATAGCAGGTTGTCTGAACTCAGACCCAGCGGGAATGACAAATGCGGGAGCCCAAAGACGACCTCTTCCAGCCTGGGGTGTGTGTGGGGGGGGGGGAAGATGGGCATTGCAGTTGGCCAGCTGAGCCAAAGAGGAGACCCCCCCCAGCCCCAGATGCCCGGCAGTGGCCGGTGGTGTGAACAAGGCTTTCAAGACTAGACAATCACCTGTCTGAGCAGGGGGCTGGACTAGAAGACCTCCAAGATCCCTTCCAACTCTCTTCAATTCTAAAAGGGAGGGGAAGGAAGAGGGGACCCCGGGAGGGGCGGAGAAGCGGAGGGAGGGGGTTGGGGACCCCTGGTCTGGCTTCTCCTGCTTGAGCAGGGGGCTGGACTAGAAGACCTCCAAGGTCCCCTTCCAGCTCTCTTCAATTCTAAAAGGGAGGGGAAGGAAGAGGGGACCCCGGGAGAGGCGGAGGAGGGAGGGGGTTGGGGACCCCTGGTCTGGCTTCTCCTGCTTGAGCAGGGGGCTGGACTAGAAGACCTCCAAGGTCCCTTCCAGCTCTCTTCAATTCTAAAAGGGAGAGGCGGAGAAGCGGAGGGAGGGGGGGTTAGGGACCCTCCCCGGGGAAAAGGCGCAGGGGACCCTTTTGCAAAGGGGGAGGGCAGGAAAAGCCCCCTCCCCAACCAGAGGCTCACCTGCGATCGGGGGAAAGCGAAGCACCGAGCGTAGCGAAGCGCAGCGGCGGCGGCGGCGTCCGGAGAAGCGAGCAAGCGAACCGGGCAGGCGGAGAGGACGGACGAGCGAGGCAGAGCCCTGCGGAGGCAGCCTTTATAGCGGCCGGCCGGTGCCTCGCCCCCCGGCCCGCCCCCCACCCACCCCAGCCGCTTCCGCCCCCCTCCCCCTGGAGCCCTGCAGCCCTTTGCCAGGCTGGGCTGCGTTCCCACGACCCGCCGAACCCGGGTTAGCCTCTTTTTCCCCCCTAGATTCCTCCCACCCCACGACCCCCGGGGTCGTGTGGATTCATCCCTCGGGGACGGAGTACTGGAGTCGAGATGGGAAGAAAAGCAAGGAATCCGAAAGAAACGCCTGCAGGAACCGTCCCAGCTGGGTGGGAGGGGGGAGATGCGGGGATGCGGGTTTGCAAGGCTAGGGCCCGACCCGCGTTGTGGGAACGCGGCTGTAAAGCCCCCCTCCTCTCCCCCTCCCCCGGTATCCTAGCAACAAACAGGGCATGCAGCAACCCATCCAGATGTGGGCACGCCCACCTTTGCTCTGCCCCTCCCCTTTCCGCAGGGTTGGGGGACTACAATGCCACTAATCCCCACCCCCACCCCGGGCTGTGGATGTCTGAGTTGCAGCCCTGCTGAGGGGTGTGTGTGCATGTGTCTGACTTGCAGTCCTCCTTGGGTGTATGTGTGTGTGTGTGTCAGTCAGTTGCAGCCCTGCTTGTGTGTGTGTGTGTCTGAGTTGCAGCCCTCCTTGTGTGTGTGTGTGTGTGTGTCTGAGTTGCAGCCCTCCTTGTGTGTGTGTGTGTGTGTTGTGTGTGAGTTGCAGCCCTGGTTGGGTGTGTGTGTGTGTGTGTGAGAGTTGCAGCCCTGCTTGTGTGTGTGTGTGTGTGTGTGTGTGTGTGAGTTGCAACCCTGCTTGTGTGTGTGTGTGTGTGTGTGTGTGTGTGTGATCAGAAGGGGGAGAGGGCCCTGGATTCTAAAGGGCAGCAGTTTGGGTCTCAGATGCACCCAGGGCTAAGCCATGAATGGTGGTTTACGAACCAGGTAGCAGCAGCGTTTGGGAGGCCCAGCTGAACCTTTCCTAACAGAGACGGTGAGGCTGAATTGTCACAACTGGGATCCATAATACATCACACAAAGGTGTGCAGTGGTGTCATGATGTGTTTGCTAACAACTGCGGTGATTTACTTAACAAAAAAGGTCGTAAAATGGGGGGGCAAGGCTCACTTAACGAATGTCTGAATGTCTCGCTTACAACAGAAATTTTGGCCTGCATTTTGGATGTAAGGCGAGGACTGCACCACAAAGAGTCGGGCCAATCCAATTTTAAATCACGTCCTTCCAATTCCAACAATTATTTATTTCTTAAAGTCGCCCCCCTCTTTCGTCCATGCTAAACCACAAGCTGCAAAATACAGTTTTACAACTAGGAGTCCTAATACTCCTCTCTTTAGCATCCTGTTAGCTGCAATTTGTATTTAATTCTCCATTTCTTGCCTGGTCGGACAAATTTAGAAATATCTTTTTGACATTGCTTAAAAAGGTACATCGTCCCTCATCGATTTTGTCCGAAATAAAAATAGCGTTTTGGGTTTTAAACATTCATCTTAATCATAGAAATTCTTCCCTACCGTGACGATTGCATTTTTCCCCCATCTTTTTTTTTAATTTCATCCCATACCGTAACACAATTATTTTGACACAACATAACAATTCACATTTGTTAAAATGTTTAACTCAAAATGTTTAACGTTTTCTCTCAGTTTTAAAACCACATTTATTCATCAGATTGTTTGGACCCTGCATGGTCGTATTTGGTCAAAATCTTTGTTTTCGTTTATTAATCATCAAACCTGTGTCAAAATCTTTCATTTTTTTTTTCATCACAAACTTGTAAAAATTCTACTGCTTTCAAACTTGGTGACTTTTAAGATGCGTCGATTTCAACTCCCAGAGTTCCCCGTGCTGGCTGGGGGAATTCTGGGAATTGAAGTTCACACATTGTAAAGTTGCCAGATTTGAAAAAAAAAACTATTTTAGTCTCTTTTTAACTAAGAATAACTCAGTTGTTGGAAGTGGAAAAGAATCAGGCTAGAAATCTCTCCGTACAATTCAGTGAAAATTGTCCTAAGAAAAAAACGAATATGTGAATATGTAAAAGGACAAGTAGTCCTCACTTAAGGACTAGCTGCTTAGCGATTGTTCAAAGTTACGATGAACACCCCAAAAGCTACTTATAACCTGGCTCTGAGGGCTAGACACACACACACACACACAAAACCACACACATATTCACATGACTGGATACTGTGTGCTTGTTAGATGGATTGCAGCGTGTTGCTGGGTTTTATATTAGATAATTATAATTTATGCCATTTTTTTTGTTCATTTCAGGTTGGTTAATCCACCCCATTTTTATATGAATACCGACTTCGGTCAAAAAAAATAATTGTGAGTAAGCCATTGTGATAAGCAATACTGATATAAATCTCAGATGTATTTGCAATTTTTTAAAAAAAGTTTATTGAGAGAAAAGGGAAAATGTACAGTTCTGGAGACCCAGGCAAAGGGCTTTGATTTTAATTCCCTGAAAGTCTGTTGTGGGAGGAAGCACTTATAATTTGTTATAATTTATTTTGATAGCAGAGTGTCCACTAGAACAGGGCTTTTCAACCTTTTCACCCATTGTACCACTTTTAGGATAGGGCAACATCCGAGTACCACCAGTCGCCTAGCAAGGGGTCAAAAATTTGATGACCAAAAAAAAAAAAAAAAAGTGATAAAGTACAAGTGGTCCTCGACTTACAACAGTTTGCTTAGTGACTGTTCGAAGTTACAACGGCACTGAAAAAAGTGCCCCCCCCCCCAGCCACAGCCGAGCAAGACACCTGCCTGCCCGCCCGGCCGCGCTCTTCCTCCTGTCCGAGGTTTTCACTGTTGTGAGCATTTCTGTTGGGGATTGGCAGTGGGGGTGGGGTGGGGGGTGTTTGGTTTTTATTCCCCCCGTCTGCTGGGTGGTTGCAGCAGGTTTTGGTCACTTCACATGACCCTGGGACACAGTGACCGTCATAAATATGAATCAGTGGCCAAGCATCTGAATGTAAATCACAAGACGCTGGAGAGGCTGCAACATTCCAGCTGATGGGTGCTTCTTGTGGGCTCAGCAGAAGCACCAGGATCAGTGCTGAGCTCCAGCTGGATCCTGGTGGTGATCCTGGCGCTTCCGCTGAGCCCTGCCAGCCCTGCAGCTCCAGCCGTCTCTCGCTCAGGCTTGTGCGGTGCTGCCCCCGGTTCAGCCCATTCCCCTCCCCCATTGCCATTTTTCTAGGATGGTCGTGTACCCCCTGCCAGGTGCCAATATACCACAGGTGGTACCCATACCCCTGGTTGAAAAGCCCTGTCTTAGCAGGATTTCAGAAAACAGTCTCTCTTTTTCCACCGCTTCCTTCACTAGAAAAAAAAGGAGAAAGGAAGATGGTTTAGCCAAAGTGGTCTAAATTTTTGCATATTTTTTTTAAAAAATGTTTTGACCGCAGAACAAACTAATAAAGTCAATCAATACTTGGGACATTCTGATAAAAAGAAAACATAAAATGTTTCAAGCTTCGCAGCACTAGAAAAGCACAGAAATCCTAAAGCAGCCCTTATTTCGTAATAATGATGGTGATGATGATGATTTTGGAAGGGACCTTGGAGGTCATCTAGTCCAACCCCCTGCTCAGGCAGGAAACCCTATAGTATAATATAGGGTTTCCTGCCTGAACAGGGGGTTGGACTAGATGACCTCCAAGATCCCTCCCAACATAATCATCATCATCATCATTATTATTATTATTATTAGAAATGTTGGAGTATTCACCGCTTCTGGAGGCAGGTGGTTCCACTGGTTAATTGTTTTCACTGTCAGGAAGTTTCTCCTTAGTTCCAGGTTGCTTCTCCCCTTGATGAGTTTCCATCCGTGCCTGTCTGAGGAATTCTGGGAGTTGAAGTCCACCAGTCATCAAAGGGCCAAGTTTGAAGACCCCCTTCTTGTGGACTTCAACTCCCAGAATTCCTCAGCCAGGCACACTGGCTGAGGAATTCTGGGAGTTGAAGTCCACAAGTCATGAAAGGGCCATAGTTCCCCCCATGCTGGCTGAGGAATTCTGGGAGTTGAAGTCCACAAGTCATGAAGGGGGCCATAGTTCTCCCATGCTGGCTGAGGAATTCTGGGAGTTGAAGTCCACCAGTCATCAAAGGGCCAAGTTTGAAGACCCCTGCAGTCTAACACAATGTTTTCCAAAGTTGGCTTCTGGAAGCTGGGTGGACTTCAACTCCCAGAATTCCACCTGTCTTCCAGGGGCTGATTTTGAAAACAACCCACAGCTCTTAACATATGTCAGAAATACGGATCAAGTTAGGATACGGTGGCCTTGTAGCACTTTAGGATCCTTACCTCTTGGGATCCTCTCACGGAGACCCCGTGCTATCTGATCCACATCTGGCTGGCTTTTGCTGAGCAAGCATGTGTGATCCATGTCTAGTTGCGCCTTGTTAACGTGATAAAAAGTCTTCTTGCAGCGTGTTTAAGTCTCGTGCCTCAATGGGCACAGCGTTGGCGGCAATTAATATAATTGATAGGTAGGCTTGCCATCCCGGCAAATACTGTTTGCAGAATTTAAAAGTCCCCCCCCCTTGTGGTTCTCTCTTTGGCTGGAGGAGACCCTGGCCCGGATCCGATCAGATCAGAAGGGGGTCTCCCAAGAAAGCTGAGCCAAAACCAGCAACCGTTTCAGCTGCTCGTAGGACACAAACATCACCACGTTCCAGGATCCCAACCGTAAGAAAGAAGGCATGAAGCTGGAGAAGAAAAAAAAAAGATAAAGAAAAGGAATTTAATCGCTGGTGCCTGAGAGCGGAGAATGCACAAGCCTCTGTGTCCAGAAGGTTGAAAAAGTCAAGATGGTGGCCCCCAGGTTGTGTTTGATGCGCCGTCTCCTTCTTTACTTGCAGTGGTGTGGATTTGGGATCAGGGAATTGCTATACCAGCGGTTCTCAACCTGTGGGTCGCGACCCCATTTGGGGTTGAACGACCATTTCACGGGGGTCGCCAAACAACGCGATCCGCCATTTTTTTGTCAGCTGGCGGCACTGCGCATGGGCGCCGTGCATGGGCATGCCACCGCGCATGGGCGCCGCACATGGGCGCGCGGCCGCACATGTGTACCGCATCGCGCATGCACGGCGCGTCCTTATGACCGGGGTCGCCAGAAAAAAAAGGTTGAGAACCACTGTGCTATAGGGACTTTAGGGGGTCAAAGCTCCTACTCTATTCTATTCTATTCTCTATTCTATTCTATTCTATTCTATTCTATTCTATTCTATTCCATTCCATCCATTCATTCTATTCTATTCTATTCTATTCTATTCTATTCTATTCTATTCTATTCCATTCTATATTCTATTCTATTCTATTCTATTCTATTCCATATTCTATTCTATTCTATTCTATTCCATTCCATTCCATTCCATATTCTATTCTATATTCTATTCTATTCTATATTCTACTCTATATTCTATTCTATTCTATTCCATTCCATTCCATTCTATTCTATTCTATATTCTATTCTATATTCTATTCTATTCTATTCCATTCCATTCCATTCTATATTCTATTCTATTCTATTCTATTCTATTCTATTCTATTCTATTCTATTCTATTCTATTCTAGTCCATTCCATTCTATATTCTATTCTATTCTATTCTATTCTATTCTATTCTATTCTATTCTATTCTATTCTATTCCATTCCATTCCATTCTATTCTATTCTATTCTATTCTATATTCCATTCCATTCCATTCTAATTCCTGAATGCTATTTCTGTCAGTCATTCGTTTCAGTGCTGTCGTAACTTCGAACGGTCAGTAAACAAACTGTCGTAATTCGAGGACTAGCTGCATCCCCATCTGTCCCCCAAGGAGGTATTCTGGGAGACGGGTGGGGAGGAGCAGGGCCTCCTCCGCGTGGTGAGGGGAGCTAGTCACCCACCCTTTGTAGAAAGCACGGGGTCCTTCCTTCACCACCATGGTCAGCATGCAGTTCAAGGCGTTCTTATAGTGTCCGGTGCCGGAGTTCATGTACCGCGTTTTGACCACGTCCACCGGTGACGCCACCACCGTTGCACAGAAACCAGCTCCAAACGCCGCCACAAAGTGGCATGGGAAATTATCTGGGGAGACAAAGGAGTAGAAGACCCTCAGGACGATGGGCCTCAGAGGCTGGAGAGAAGTTACCCAGCACATTGCCTTCACCAAGAATTCTCCAGGCAGCCCTCGACTCGTCACGGTTCTCTTAGTGACCGTTCCGAGTTACGACAGCACTGAAAAAAAGGGGAATTATGACCGTTTTTTTTCACACTTAGGACCATTGTAGCATTCCCTATGTGATTTACATTCAGATGATTGAAAACCAGTGGTGGGATTCAGACCGGTTCGCACCGGTTCGGGAGAACCGGGAACTAATGTTTTGTTGAGTTCGGAGAACTGGCTGAATATACTACACCGCTTCTGGAAGTCTGTTTTAGGCCTGGGAGACCTGGAGGAGGCCTCGCAGGCCTAGAACGGCCCGCTGGAAGTACATGGAGCGATAAAGATGATCAGGGGACTGGAGGCTAAAACATACAAGGAACGGTTGCTGGAATTGGGTCTGTCTAGTTTAATGAAGAGAAGGACGAGGGGGGACATGATAGAAGCCTTCCAGTATCTCAGGGGCTGCCCCAAAGAAGAGGGAGTCAAGCTGTTCTCCAAAGCGCCGGAAGGCAGGACAAGAAGCAACAGATGGAAACTCATCAAGGAGAGAAGCAACCTGGAACTAAGGAGAAACTTCCTGACAGTGAGAACAATTAACCAGTGGAACTACCTGCCTCCAGAAGTGGTGAATGCTCCAACACTGGGAGTTTTTAAGAAGAGACTGGACAGCCATTTGTCTGAAATGGTGTAGGGTTTCCTGCCTGAGCAGGGGGTTGGACTAGACGATCTCCAAGGTCCTTCCAACATTATTATTATTATTACTACTACTACAACTAGTAGTCTAGTCTAAGTGTAGTCTAGTCTAGTCTAAGTGTAGTCTAGTCTAGTCTAATCTAGTCTGTCTAGTCTAAGTCTAGTCTAGTCTAATCTAAGTCTAGTCTAGTCTAGTCTAGGTCTAGTCTAGTCTAGGTCTAGTCTAGTCTAGTCTAAGTCTAGTCTAAGTCTAGTCTAATCTAGTCTAAGTCTAGTCTAGTCTAGTCTAAGTCTAGTCTAGTCTAAGTCTAGTCTAGTCTAAGTTTAGTCTAGTCTAGTCTAGGTCTAGTCTAGTCTAAGTCTAGTCTAGTCTAGTCTAAGTCTAAGTCTAGTCTATAGTCTAGTCTAAATCATCTAGTCTAGTCTAAGTCTAGTCTAAGTAGTCTAGTCTAGTCTAAGTCTAGTCTAGTCTAAATCTAGTCTAAGTCTAGTCTAGTCTAGTCTAAGTCTAGTCTAAGTCTAGTCTAGTCTAGTCTAGTCTAAGTCTAGTCTAGTCTACCCTGTCCTTTCCTATCGTATCCTATCCTTACCTGTCATCAGGTGATGTTTCAGCAGGGTCTCCTTGATGAGGTCATAGGTCACCATCTCCCCACAGTTCACAATGGCGTTACGAGTGATGTTGGGGAAGGTCCCTGCCAGGGATGGAAGGAAATGTCGGTTATGGAGAATGAAGGTTTTTGGATTCCAACATCACTTTTGGGGGGAAAAAAAGGACAGAGGTGGACAGGTACCTTTCCAGAGGCCTCGGACCCCTTCTTCCCGGGCGATTGTCCGATAGGCATCCACTGTCCCATTGTACCTCTTGGGAGCCCCCACCAGCTGGATGTGGGCTTGGAAGCGGACTTTCACCACGTCCGTCGGCTGGGCGCAGGTCACCGCCATGGCGCCGGTGGTACAGCCGGCAAGGAGTCGGATGAAAATGCTGGAATCTGAGGTAGGAGGAGGGAGAAAGGGAGAAAGAGGGACGATGAATCAGCCCAGGGGAGCCTCTGTTACTCTAGAGCAGAGTTCCCTAACATATAACAACAACAACAACAACAACAACAACAACAATGAGGAGGAGGAGGGGGAGAGGAGGAGGAGGAGGCGAAGAAGGAGGAGGAGGAGAAGAGAGGAGGAGAAGAAGAAGAAGGAGGAGGAGGAGGAGGAGAAGGAGGAGGAGGAGAAGGAGGAGAAGAAGAGAGGAGGAGGAGAAGAAGTAGAAGAAGAGGAGAAGAAGAAGAAAGGAAGAGAAGAAGGAGGAGAAGGAGGAGGAGAAGAGAGGAGGAGGAGAAGAAGAAAGGACGAGAAGAAAAAGGAGGAGGAGGAGAAGAAGAGAGGAGGAGAAGAAGAAGAAGAAGAGGAGGAGGAGGAGAAGAAGAAAGGAGGAGGAGAAGAAGGAGGAGGAGGAGAAGAGGAGGAGAAGAAGAAAGGAGAAGAAAAAGGAGGAGGAGGAGGAGAAGAAGAAGAGGAGGAGGAGGAGAAGAAGGAGGAGGAGGAGGAGGAGGAGAAGAGGAGGAGAAGAAGAAGAGGAGGAGGAGGAGGAGAAGAAGAAGAGGAGGAGGAGAAGAAGAAAGGAGGAGGAGGAGAAGAGAGGAGGAGAAGAAGAAAGGAGAAGAAAAAGGAGGAGGAGGAGAAGAAGAAGAGGAGGAGGAGGAGGAGAAGAAGGAGGAGGAGGAGGAGGAGGAGAAGAGGAGGAGAAGAAGAAGAGGATGAGAAAAAGAAGAAAGGAGGAGAAGAAGAAGAAGAGGAGGAGAAGAAGAAAGGAGGAGGAGGAGAAGAAGAGGAGAAGAAGAAGTAGAAGAGGAGGAGGAAGAGGAGGAGGAAAGAAGAAGAAGAAGAAGAAGAGGAAGAAGAAGAGGAGGAAGAGGAGGAGGAGGAAGACTGTGGGGTCCTGCGTGCTCTCTGAGCTTGGTTGTTTTCTTGCAGACATTTCCTTACCTGACTAGGTAACATCATCAGTGCTAGGAGGGAATGGGGAGGAGAGGAGAGGAAGAGGAAGAGGAAGAGGAAGAGTCTTATGCGAGACTCCAGACTTACGCTCGGAGCCCTTGGGCGTGTAGAGCTGCTTCACGGAGTCGTAGAGTCCGATCCGGACCGAGGCGAAACTCATCTGGCGCTGAAGGCCGGCCACCAGCCCGTTGTAGAGGCTCTTGGGCCCTTCCATCTTCACCATGGTGGCGATGGTGCCCAGCACCCCTTTGTATTTCACTTGTCTGCTCGCTTTGCAGGTCCTCGATTCCCCCTGGATCTGGGACGAGAAAGAGGGATTGGGTGGTGTTATCATCCTGGCCTTGGTCTAAAATGGAGTTGCTCAACCTTGGCAAGGTTAAGACACCTGGGACTTCAACTCCCAGAATTCCCCAGCCAGCATCACTCATCAAACACAGGACGAAACAAGAAAAAAAAAACCCCAATAAGCAAGGCTCACTACAGTATTTATGGTTCACAGTGCACATAATGTGCACGAAATAAATTCTCTCTAGAATGGGGGTCTTCAAACTTGGCCCTTTTATGCCTTGTGGACTTCAACTCCCAGAATTCCACAGTTTCCCCCATGCTAGCTCAGGAATTCTGGGAGTTGAAGTCCACGAGTCATGAAGGGGCCATAGTTTCCCCCATGCTGACTCAGGAATTCTGGGAGTTGAAGTCCATGAGTCATGAAGGGGCCATAGTTCCCCCACACTGGCTGAGGAATTCTGGGAGTTGAAGTCCATGAGTCATGAAGGGGCCATAGTTTCCCCCATGCTGACTCAGGAATTCTGGGAGTTGAAGTCCATGAGTCATGAAGGGGCCATAGTTCCCCCACACTGGCTGAGGAATTCTGGGAGTTGAAGTCCATGAGTCATGAAGGGGCCATAGTTCCCCCATGCTGGCTGAGGAATTCTGGGAGTTGAAGTCCACGAGTCATGAAGGGGCCAAGTTTGAAGACCCCCGCTCTAGAATATAATGAGGACTCCTACAGGCAAAAAGATGCACTCATATTTATATATTTCAGGAAAGGAGGAAAAATGAGACATATGCATATCTAACAGATGACATAAGCGTGCATATTCATAATTAGCAAACCTTAAGTCACTTCCCTGCCTTCCATTGTTACTATGCTCAAGGCAGATTTATTGTCTTAATAAAAAGAAATTTATCAACCATGCGGCCCTAGCAGTTTTGATAAAGTGTACTGAGAACGGAGGGCTTCAAAGTTGATCCGATTAGCGCATATTCCTTCCATGTTTCTACTTTGCTAACAGGCTTTTCCTCACACTGCTCTAAACCATGGCTTGTTCCACAATGTGGCAGGAAAGGTCATAAAACGGGGCAAAACCCGCTTAATAAGGGTCTCAATTAGTGTCAGAAATTTTTGGGCTGAGTTGCGGCCATAAGTCATGTACTTCCTGTACCGCACAGCGCACAGCGCCACCCGACACATGATTAGAATCTTCTGGACTATCACCCAAGGCATTGAGCAGCGGTCAGACTAATGGATCCCTGCCCCGGCAAGGGGTTGGACTAGATGACCTCCAAGGTCCCCTCCCATCCTTCCTTGGTATGCTTCCACGCTGGACTTTCTTTGTTTATAGTAGTAGTAGTAGTAGTAATAATAATAATAATAATAATTAGTAATAAAGTTGAAAGGGATCTTGGAGGTCATCTAGTCCAACCCCCCTGCTCAGGCAGGAAACCCTATACCAGTGGTTCTCAACCTGTGGGTCGGGACCCCATTTGGGGTCGAACGACCATTTCACGGGGGTCGCCAAACAACGCAGTCTGCCATTTTTTCCCCCTTTTCCTTAGCTGTGCTACTCCCTTTTATTCTATTGGCTTTTGAAAGCCAATAGAATAGACTCTCTTGACTAGAGTCTAATTCTATTGGCTTTCAAAAGCCAATAGGAATTGTCCAGGCTGTCTCTGCCCTGCTGAGCCCGCCAAAAGTCCCATTCTGCAAACGGTGCTGCACCCGTTGAGTAGTCCTTGACTTATGACCGGTTGAGTAGTCCTCGACTTACGACCAGTTGGGGGTCGTGGCATTAAAAAAATTGAGAACCACTGCCCTATACCATTTCGGACAAATGGCTGTCCAGACTCTTCTTAAAAACTTCTTAAAAACTTTGCTTGAAGAGGTTTCGCTTCTCATGCCAAGAAGTGTCATTCCGTTCTGACTGAAGGCTGGAGAATGAAAAGATTTATATTCTTTGCCATCGTCGTCTTCTTTAGTGACGGCTGCCCTTCTGAGCGCGACCTACCTGGAGCCGGACTTTGGCCGTGTCCAAGGGGAACGTGCAGAGATCAGCAACGCAGGCAGCTGTGCCAGCGCTGAGGAATTTGATGGGCGCCGACGGTGGGATGTCGGTGGGCTTCAAACCGACCATCCTTCTCAGCAACTACAATCTCCACGCCAGATATCCTTCTTTGGGTGTTGTCTAAAATTTGGGATGTCTGCGTCAGAAGCAGCCCTGCCCTTGAGGGGGAAGGAAGGAACCTTGGAGAAAAAATAATAATAATAAAGTTGATCGCGACAACCGCAAGGATTACTACTATCGCTATAATTGACGCTGGACCGAAATTTAATCAAAGTAGTTTATCCGTGTCAGCAGAACTTGAAACGCAAAGGCACACAGCTGCCGAAGTGTCATCCTTGACAGAAGCTCTTGTTGACAAAGAGTATATAAGGTGGGAGTGTTGTGGCATTGCACAAGCCCAACATCCTTTTTTTGTTGCAGTTTTCTTTCAAAGGTGTTCCTTCATATCTCACTGGGTCAGATGGATTTAAGCTGGGGGTCATATATAGAATAAGAATAGAATAGAATAGAATAGAATAGAATAGAATAGAAATACAGAATAGAATAGAATAGAATAGAATAGAATAGAATAGAATAGAATAGAATTACAGAATGGAAATACAGAATAGAATAGAATAGAATAGAATAGAATAGAATAGAATAGAATAGAATAGAATAGAATTAGAATAGGGTAGGGTAGGATAGGATAGGAATAGGAATAGGAATTAGAATAGAAATAAGAATTATAAGAATAGAATAGAGTAGAATAGAATAGAATAGAATGGAATGGAATGGAATGGAAATACAGAATAGAAGAGAATAGAAATACAAAATAGAATAGAAATAAGAATAGAATAGAATAGAAATAGAAATAATAGAAATAGAAATAATAGAACAGAACAGAATTCTTTATTGGCCAATGATCGGAGACACAAGGAATTTGGGGCCTAAGCTCACAGTTTAAAGCAGCAAGTAATAGGTGATAGGTCATAATCATAGTTACCATCATTAAACCTAAGTTACAAACAACAATCAATAAATCATAGTCACTAAGCGACGGATCGTAAGCTGAGAACCGCCTGTAACTAAGCAGTAAAAACAGAATTTCTACCTGGACCGGGATAATTTTTCTCTCCAAATCCTCAGGCTGGTCTGCCCCATTCACAGCTCGAAGAATCTTCTTGCAAAAACGATTTCTTTCGATAATGGCTAATAAAATCATTCATCAATCAAACGATCCAGCCGGTCCAGCCGGTCCAAGCCGGCTCAAATATATGTCGAGACTCTCGTTCGTCATCGTTGTCCACCCCCATTTATAAACTCAGCCAGGCTGGCATTTCAAGAAGATGCCAACAGATGAAAACACCCATCGGGTGGCGGGTCAGCCAGTGCGAGGACTGAAATGACACCCCCCCACACACACATATACACACACACAGATGCCCGGTGTGTGTTTGTGGCCAAAAATAAGGGTGGCATTTGTCACTATGGAAATATCTCTGTTTGTACACAGGGTTTTTTTTCACCCCAGAGGGGCGGTGGGAGTCTCCTGAGACACGAGGCTATGAAACAGCAACCAGGGGTTGAGTTTTAGGATCACAGGCAGTCCTCGACTTACAACGGTTCAGTTAGTGACCATTCAAGGTTCCAACGGCACTGAAAAAGTGACTTAGGACCCTTTTTCACGCTTACGACCATTGCAGCATCCCCTTGATCACGTGATCAAAATTCAGAGGCCTCGGCAACTGACTTGTATTTACGATGGCTGCCATGTCCCGGGATCACATGATCCCCTTTTGCGACCTTCTCACCAGCAATGGGGAAGCCAAATTCACTTAACAACCGTGTTACTGACTTAACGAGTGCAGTCATTCATTTAACGTGGCAGTGAAAAGTTGTAAAACGGGGCAAAACTCACTTAACAAGCTTCTCCCTTGACGACGTGCCTTTTGAGCTCAATGGCGGTCGTAAGTCGAGGATTAACCCACATTCTTTCTGCAACCTTCCAAGCTGCACGCTTCTGTGGTGTGGAGTGGCTGCATTCAGACGAACAATTTAACCAGGTTCGGTGCAAACACACCAGGGAGGGCTGCAAAGGGACCAACATCCTTAACTGAGCTTGTGTTAAATTGAGGAAGATATTTAACTTAGTTTAGCAAGGGATGGAAATTTATTTTGGGGACTCTGCCAGTCTAGAAAAATGAGGGAATTCAGTACAGGTGAGTCCTTGACTTATGACTAAAGTTGGGACCATAATTTCCATTGCTGTGCCACTTGGTTGTTAAGTGAGTCATGCTGAATTTACAACCTTTTTCCTGTGGTTAAGCAGATCACCACAGTTGTTAAGTAAATCATGCGGTCGTTAAGCAAATCCACTTTCCCCCCAAAGTCACTGGGGAAGCCAGATTGATTCACTCAATAACCGTTTTAATGGCTTAGCAGCTGCAGTGATTCACAACTGCGCTATGAAAAGTCGTAAAAGGGGGCAAAGCCTACTTAACAACTGCCTTGCTTAACGACAGAAATTTTGGACTCAACCACAGTTGTAATTCGAGGACAACCTGTATTGGTGGGTGTGCTGCAAGTTCACCAACGCGCCAGGCATTCGGACCTATCTTTTGCCAATGGATGCTCTGGAGAGCTAGAATCGTCTGGCGGGAACGGATCCTTGAGGTCATCCAGTCCAGCCCCACTGATTAAGCGAAACGTCACAGATCACCTTCTGCGGAAGGGAAGTCAGCCACCCCTTTGCGTATTTAGGGAAGTTTGGCCAGGAACATTTTGTGCTTTGCAATTTACCGTTCACAGCAGCCGAGGCCGGGAAACTGTGTGACCTCCGCAACTGGGGTTGTACAGACGTCACCGGAAATTAAAGAGTTTTCTTGTCGTCATCCTTTGGGTCAGGATCTGGCAGTCAGATGGCAGGAGGAAAATGCCAGCTTCTTCTCCAGTTTCTGGGACAAACAGTTCAGGCCAACAGGTGTCATTTATTTGGGTGCCTCAAGTAAGTTGCCAAAATGTTCTCGCAACCAGCCGGCTGTCGGGCAAGATATGAAAATTGCCCCATTGTTAAGAGGGTGGAAGTGCGAAGGGACACCGTGAAATTGCCTGAAATGTTATACGGCTGCCGAAGAAATAGATTTGAATGTGTACAAAATTTAACTTTTATCTTTATTGTATAAAAACCCAGAATCACACAATAATAATAATAGAAAAAAGCGAACTAAAAGTTCTTCGTAAATAAATTAGCACATTTCCATTTGGACAGATAATTTTCCCCGTGTTCTTAAAAAGGGGACAAACCAGTAGGATCAAGGTCTATGCCAGGATTAGGCAACCTTGGCTCTTTTATGACCCGTGGACTTCAACTCCCAGAATTCCTGAGCCAGCATGGGGGAACTTTGGCCCCTTCATGACTCGTGGACTTCAACTCCCAGAATTCCTGAGCCAGCATGGGGGAACTATGGCCCCTTCATGACTCGTGGACTTCAACTCCCAGAATTCCTCAACCAGCCATGCTGAGGGGAAAGGGAGAGGTTTCCAAGCTGAGCCAGGCTGGCTGAGGAATTCTGGGAGTTGAAGTCCCCAGGTCATGAAGGGGCCACAGTTCCCCCATGCTGGCTGAGGAATTCTGGGAGTTGAAGTCCCCCAGTCATAAAAGAGCCAAGGTTGCCTACCCCTGGTCTATGTAATCAATCAGAGACACACATACACACCTGGAGGAGTATTTGCACGTCCTAGAGTGGGGTGCTTTTTTTTTTTTTTTGCAGCAGTCCCCAGTCCCGTGAGAACGGAGTGGCCTGTTCGCACCCCAAGTTCATTATAACTCTTGCACAATCCCTTCCGGGTCACCCTTCATCCGGGACGACCAGGTAAGTCTCCAGCCTGCATTGGATTGGAAGCGGTTGGTGCTTGAAAAGTAAAATAATTAAAAATTTAAATTCAAGAAACGTTCAGGAAAGGGTGCCTTTTTACCCCAGGCTCAGCTTTCAGTTGCAAATTTCTCCAGGCAGGGAATCCAGAAATGATGGTTTTTCAATGGGAGAAAAATGAAAAGAAAAGGCAAACAGGTGCTCTAGATTGGATTTTTAAAGAGGGAGGGAGGGAGGGAAGGTCCACAGATCCGAGGGAGCCAGGGTGCTTGAGTGGGAGATGAGACTGTTTGGAATGAATCTCTTCCTCGCTGGCACTCGGAAAAAAAAAAAAAAAGACACCAAAATCGGATAAAAGATGAATTCTGCTGCTACAATGAGGCTTTTTCCCCCGTCTTCCTATTGCTAAGGGGACAACTGATCGGTTTTGGTTGGCACGTGGAATAGCTCCAAACTGACATGGATATTTGAGAAAGAAAGAAAGAAAGAAAGAAAGAAAGAAAGAAAGAAAGAAAGAAAGAAAGAAAGAAAGAGAAAGGGAGGGGAGGGAGGGAGGGAGGGAAAAGAAAGACAGAAAAAATAATGAAAGAGAAAGAAAGAAAATGGAAGGAAGGAAGGAAAAAAGACAAATAAAAAAGAGAAAGAATGAAATAAAGAAAGAAAAGAAAAAGAAAGAACAAAAGAGAAAGAAAATGAAGGAAGGAAGGAAAAGAAAAAACAAAAAAGAGAATGAAAGAGAAAGAAAGAGAAGAGAGAAAGAAAAAAGAATGAAAGAAAAAGAAAGAAAATGGAAGGAAAAGGGACAAATAAAAAAGAGAAAGAATGAAAGAGAAAGAAAGAGAAGAGAGGAAGAAAAAAGAATGAAAGAGAAAGAAAGAAAATGGAAGGAAGGAAGGAAAAAAAGACAAATAAAAAAGAGAAAGAATGAAATAAAGAAAGAAAAGAAAAAGAAAGAACAAAAGAGAAAGAAAATGAAGGAAGGAAGGAAAAGAAAAAACAAAAAAGAATGAAAGAGAAAGAAAGAGAAGAAAGAAAAAAAGAATGAAAGAGAAAGAAAGAAAATGGAAGGAAAGAAGGAAAAGGGACAAATAAAAAAGAGAAAGAGAGAAAGAAAAAAGAATGAAAGAGAAAGAAAGAAAATGGAAGGAAGGAAAAGGGACAAATAAAAAAGAGAAAGAATGAAAGAGAAAAAAAGAGAAGAGAGAAAGAAAAAAAGAATGAAAGAAAGAAAGAAAATGGAAGGAAGGAAAAGGAACAAATAAAAAAGAGAAAGAATGAAAGAAAGAAAGAGAAGAGAGAAAGAAAAAAAGAATGAAAGAAAGAAAATGGAAGGAAGGAAAAGGAACAAATAAAAAAGAGAAAGAATGAAAGAGAAAGAAAGAAAATGGAAGGAAGGAAGGAAAAGAAAAAGAGACAAATAAAAAGAATGAAAGAGAAAGAAAGAAAAAAGAGAAAGAATGAAAGAGAAAGAAAGAAAAAAGAGAAAGAAAGAAAGAAAGAAAAAACCAATTTGGATTCCTCTGCTACCAGGGGGTGGGTGACAGTGGGGGCAGGTGCCCAGCCCCCTCCTCCCAGCTATGCCAGGGCCCCCGGCTGTCATTCAGCCCAGAGGGGCATCTCCGCAGCTCCCATGCCAGTCACGTCAACGCTCAGGCCAGGAGGAATAAGATGCTGGGGAAAAAAATGGCGAGGTCAGGAGCTGGCCTGGAGAACGTTAGCTGTCCTGGTGGTGCCCACTCCAAGCTCAAAGTTGCCTTCCGGACGGCCGTTGCAGGGGATGCTAACCTGCCGTTATCATGGCTTGCCCATGTCTGCGGGTTCTTCACGGGAACAAAGTGCTGGATTATTATGTGCTGTTTCAGAAACAAGGGCGGGGGGGGGGCGCACAGGGAAGAGATGCCTGCTGGGAGATGCCCTCCTTTGCACCTGGGGCAGCCGGCATCAAGACGGCTGAAGTCGCAGTGTGCTGTGGAGGCTGCCTTTTTGCAGAAGGTTTTATCCAGCGGACTCGGCCCGGCGGGCTTTATGGTTTTTTGGAGAACTGCATGGAAAAGATCCGAGCGATCCTTTTCGTTTCCTCTTCGGGCAGCGGAAGGGGCATCGGGTGCGGACGGGGCTGGACCGGCCTTCGGTCAGACGTTCCCGGAGCCTGGCTTGGGTCCTCTCCAGTCTGAAATGAAGGAGGGAAAAGGCTCTCAAGAGCTTCTGTGTTGTTCACAGACAGAAATCATTAAAAAAAACACACCAATTTCTTTGGTGACTACAGACGCTGCTCTGGAAGGGAGAGGGGCAGTTTCTAAATTTGGTGCACGGAGAAACTAAATGAATAAGGAATTAAAGGTCCGGGAACACGAGTTCCTTCTAGGGATCAACTGATTTGCTGAGAGGCAAAATGAGATGGGTGGCATTTAAATTTGATAGATAGATAGATAAAGATAGGTACATAGACAGATAGATAAAGATAGGTAGGTAGAGAGATACAAAGAGAGAGAGAGAGACAGAGAGATAGGTATATAGATAAATAGATAGAGATAGGTAGATGATAGATAGATAAAGATAGGTAGATAGACAGATAGATAGATACAGACAGACAGATAAAGATAGATAAAGATAGGTAGATAGATAGATAGATAGATAGATAGATAGATAGATAGATAGATAGATAGATAAAGATAGGTAGATGATAGATAGATAGAGAGATAGGTAGGTAGGTAGGTAAGTAGGTAGACAGATAAAGATGATAGGATAGATAAAGATAGGTAGATGGTAGATAGATAGATAGATAGATAGATAGATAGATAGATAGATAGATAAGTAGGTAGACAGATAGATAAAATAGGTAGATAGATAGATAGATAGATAGATAGATAGACAGATAGACAGGCAGACAGACAGATAGAGGAGAGAGGAGAGATGATAAATGATAGATAGATAGATAGATAGATAGATAGATAGATAGATAGATAGAGATAAAGATAGGTAGATGATAGATAGATAGATAGATAGATAGATAGATAGATAGATATGGATGGATGATAGATAGATAGACAGACAGATAGAGGAGAGAGGAGAGATGATAAATGATAGATAGATAGATAGATAGATAGATAGATAGAGATAAAGATAGGTAGGTGATAGATAGATAGATAGATAGATAAATAGATAGATAGATAGATAGATAGATAGACAGACAGATAGAGGAGAGAGGAGAGATGATAAATGATAGATAGAGATAGATAGATAGATAGATAGATAGATAGATAGATAGAAAGATAGGTAGATGATAGATAGATAGATAGATAGATAGATAGATAGATAGATAGGCAGGCAGGCAGACCGACTGACCGACCGACAATTGAGAGAGAGAGAGAGAGAGAGAGAATAGATGGATGGATATTTAGAGATAGATGATATTGTTGAATGGATGAATGGATAGGTAGATGAGAGAGAAAGACCTAGATTGACAGAGAGACAGATGGATGGGTGGATGGGAGCAGAAAGACACAGACAGACAGACAGGGACAGAGATGGATGGGTGGATAGATAGATGAGAGAGAGAGAGAGAGAGAGAGAGAGAGAGAGAGAGAGAGAGAAAGAAAATCTGGCTTCCCCATTGACTTTGCTAGTCAGAAGATTGCAAAAGGGGATCATGTGACACCCCCCCCCGGGAACACTGCAGCCATCATAAACACGAGTCAGTTGCCCAGGGTCCGAATTTTGATCACGTGACCCGTTGGGGATGCAGCGACAGTGTATGAAAGGGCCCTAAGTCGCTTTTTTTCAGTGCCGTTGTAACTTCGAACGGTCGTTAAACGAAGCCGGGGACCGCCTGTCTTGCAGAAAGGGGCATTCCCGTTGGGCGGGTGGGCGGGATTGCTGAGAATCAGGACAAGCCAGCATCCCGCCACTGGCCAGCATCCTTGAAACGCAAATTTTAAGCCCCTGCCGCTGCTTTAGAAGCACGTTTCTTAAAACGGCATCCTTTATTCAGGGGGAGAAACGGTGATCCCGTCCCAAGTTTGAATTGTGCTGATGAAGGATCCTGATTTTTATTTTTTATTTTATTGAATCAGCCTTTCCCTCCACCTTGCCCTGAACTTTTGGGCAAAAGGAAGGGAGGCAAGCCAAAAGAAGTCGCAGGAGGAGGTGGGGTGGCCATTAATCT